CCCACACACACACACACACACACTCAATGTTGAAAACTGTGAATCCACGAATGTAAGAATTTTCTTAATCTCAATTACCGCGCTTTTTCATTGCTCAAACATCAAAAAATCTTCTTACCAGCAAAGTAAAGTTTACGACAGCAACTTACGTTTTCCTTACTAATGTTCCAGTGTTTGCAGCCCTTCAGCCCCTCTTTGATTTCGTCCGGGGTGTACAGAGTATCAAATATCGCTTTTCTCGGAGCAAACTTCGCAATCATGCACAGCGCTCTGTTAAAAAGTAAGGAGAGAGTTTTAAAAACGTCATCATCATCATCATCATCATCATCATCATCATCATCATCATCATCATCATCATCATCATCATCATCATCATCATCATCATCATTTGATGTCTAAGTCTACATTGAGGGGATTTGATGTTGTACATTGACTGAAGTGATGTGATGTGACGTGATGTGATGATGTAAAGCGATGTGGTGTGAAGTGAAGTGATGTTGTAAAGCGATGTGGAGTGAAGTGAAGTGATGTTGTAAAGCGATGTGGTGTGAAGTGAAGTGATGTTGTAAAGCGATGTGATGTGAAGTGATGTGATGTTGTAAAGTGATGTGGTGTAAAGCGATATGATGTAAAGCGATGTGATGTTGTGAAGCGATGTTAGGTTGTACATTGAAGCGATCTGGCTGTAAAGTGATGTGATGCTGCACATTCAAGTGATGAGATTTTGTGAAGTGATATCACGTTATATATTCAGATGAACTGATGTTGGGCAATGTTGTACATTAAGGTGATAGCGATGCTGTACCGTGGGAAATAGGATGTGGAACGCGTTCTGATCTGATGTTGGACACTGGTGTGGCGTGGTGTTTTGCAATAGAACAATATGATGTCTTAATGTGATGTGACATGTTACTTTACAATTGAAGGACGTGATATTGTAATGTGATGTAATGAAGTCCAGTGACGTGAAGCGATGTTGTGCAAAGATGTGATATTGTACATTGAGACTTTCTAATGTTGAGCTGTGATCTGATAAAATGAACATTAATAAGCAATAATAAATAGCATTTGTATAGCGCATATCCCCAACGACAGCAAGCTCTATGCGCTTTACACTATAATATTATTACCCAAGCAGACCAAAGAACGCTCAGAAAAATTTCCAGCTTCTCGGGAAGCATATAGTGCAAGCATCTGATTAAGCGCTTAAACACGAACAAACTGACTAGATCTTTCACTTCTGGGTGCGACTGCAAAACGCCCAACCACTACTCCACAGGCACATTCAGACGATGTGAAAAAACTTGTGACGTAATGCTGTCCCAAGATTGTGAGATACCTGCGTTTCTCGTCTGGAGTGACAAATGATGGGTTATTCATCATGGCGTCTGCGAGGTTCCAAGCTGCAATTCCTAAGGCCTTCTCTTCCACCTCATCCATCTCTTCGATAGTTTCGATGAACGGCAGATTGACGAGCACCTGGGTTTGATGGACATTGCAAGTATGTGGTATTCACAGCGTCTGTCCATTCACATAAAGAGAAATGAGGGGCTCAAGGAAAGGAATGAAAGAAGAAATAAAGACACGAAAAAAAAGGCGGTGAGGGGAGGAGAGAGGGAGAGAAGTGTGTGTGTGCATGACTACCCGTTCGTGGTGTGTGTGCGTGAGTGTGTGTATGTGAGTATGTGTGTGTGAGAGTGTTTGAGTGACAGGGAGACAGACAGAGACACAGAGAGAGTCACAGAGAAAGAGAGATGAAGAGAGAGAGAGAGAGAGAGAGAGAGAGAGACAGAGAGACAGAGAGACAGAGAGAGAGACAGAGATGAAGAGAGAGAGGGGGTGGGGTTAGATAGTGGGGGATTTACAAAAAGATAAGAACTCAACTTGTATATTATCATACCTCACTTATTTCAGTCCATTGTTTTTTTTTCTGACAGTCTTGCTTTTTCTCAGCATTAATGAAATGACCGTTTCTAGAAACTAGCCCAAGGTAGGGAAAAGAGATAAGATTTTGCTGCTGGTGTCCTATACCCAGATCCAGGGTGAGAAAGACAATGGTGGTGGTGAAATGACAGTTATTTTGTCGATGTGTTTCTAGTAACTTACAACAAAACAATAACAAGGAAACAAACAAACAAACACACACACACACACACACACACACACACACACACACACACACACACACGCACAAAACCAAGCAACCCCCCCCCAAAAAAAAACAACCACGCAGAACGACCATCACTCACAAAGTCTGCAGTGAGCTGACTCTTGAGCGTAGAGCGGGGCAGGTAGGCGATGTAAGTGCCCAGCATCTCCACTTTGTCCGGGGTCCAGACACTGAGGGGACCCAGAGCCTGCAGGAGTTTGCTGGAGATCTGTCTCTTCACGTTGCCACGTATGCTCCACTGGAAGTAGTCGTCGGCGAGGATGTGTAGCTGAGTTCTGTGGGTGG